ATTTCTCAAAAAAATCCAAACATTTTTAACTCAACCACTTTTTTAACTCAACTTTAACTCAACCCCACTATCATCAATATTATCAATATAATTAAATAATATCAATCAATCCTTCTTACACACAACATTATCTTAATTCACTATTCATATACTCACATAATTTTAACTAACCATCACTTCAAATCTTCTCTTTCCTACTTTACATCAAATCAACTTTAATCATTTTATTTTAAATATTATTTTAATATATCTACTAACAATTAATCATACTAACTTTTTCAAAATTAATCAAACCAAACAAAAAAATCCAAACAATACCAAAAATTTTTATATCCAATCATCCTCTAAGTAGGGTATACCATGGAGGCTTGAAGTTGGGCCTTCAGACAAAAGTATTACGTGCATATGATTATTGTTATATCCATTATTAGCTTGAACAATTGCGCACTATGGTTTCCCCATTGAACAGTTGATGTTTATTCCTTATTTATCATTTCAGGTTAATGAGTTGGCGTCGTAACTCAGATGCGGCATGGTGGTCGTTTTGTGAAGTTGTTTAGTGTTTTGATGTTTAGTTAGATTTATTTGCTCATGACTTGGGTTATTTTAGAACTTATTACTCATCGTTGTTCATATTCTTATGACTTTAGTTTGATTTAAAACTCATCTTTACTATTTATCGTACTTGTGACGTTGAAACTTGAGTTTGAACGCATTATGATTCTTTTTTTTTTTTAGTTAAGATATGAAGTTTATGAGTACGATTGAGTTTGAGAAAATGTTGAAGTTGCCGGTTGAGTTCTCAAAGTTTAATTGTGCAAAGTGGTTTATGAGTTATATTATCAGAGTAAGCAACGATGAATATTGAAACACCTTGAGTTTAAAATTTGAAATGTTGATTTTTGGCATCAAAGATTTTTTTTAAAATCTGTCAATGCCCTTTTATAATGATATGTCAAAATTTTTAGCATCGGGACGTTATAGAAATAAACCACAAATCAATCATTTATAATTAATAAAAGTTATGTATTTGCAATTAAAAGCAAAAATATTATAAGTAGTCGAATAAATTGATATTTATTAGGTGATTGGTGTAATTTTTATTTGCTAATTAATTTAAATCTAGTGGGCTTTTTTATTTCATAATTGTTATTTGTGGTGGGATGATCAATTGTAATGGGATGATCAATTGTAATGCTACGTGTATAATTATAGTTGATAACATTGCTTGGTTAGCATTCTGTAATTTTTCATTGACTCAAATACTAGTCATACATTATTTGCATCTCAACCATAAAGGTCATGATGTCATGAAACGTAAAAAAAACAAATTGTATAAATAGTTTTTTCTTGCTAATAGTCTTCATGATGTGAGTTCCATTTTCAATAATTTACACAGACGTATCTATCATGGTCAATTTTCTATCCATCTACTCAAAACGAAACCGAAAAAAAAAATAAAAAAATAAAAATTGTTAAAAAAATTGTAGATAAAAAGTTGGGGAACCTCTTGGGGGCAGCACTGGTCCGTTGCACAGGAAGAGGAACCGTAATTTTGAGAAAGTCATCAGCCATGATGCGACCGAGGTGGACTTGAGCGAGCGTGCTTAGATGCAGCCCATCAGCCTCCAGCTGCAGCCCCTTCGCATCCACACATCTCACGTTGGGAAGCCTAATCTCGGTCTGTGCTCTTCTTACCACATCTACATAAGGCCCTTCCCCTGATGCCAACGCCACCTACACATACACACACAATAGTTACTATTGATTAAAAATGGGATATATGAGGAAAAATTTTGTTGGCGTACCTACCTGGATCACGGGCAGATAAGGAGAAAGCAAATCTGACCGAATTTCCTGGAAAAACTTTTCCAACCTCCTCTTGTACAATTCAGCATCCTGGTGGGTCCCTGTGTCACTCTCGCCCTGGTACCAGAGAAGGGCCCGGATAAGGCCGCCTCCACCGTGCAACGCTGCCTGTGCCCGCCTCAATACCCGATTGTACAGAGGTCTGCCCCGCCTCCACTCTGTTATGTTGGTCCCCCCGGCAGCGCAGGGGACCAAGCCCACCACCCCTATACCCGGGTCTATCTCGAGGACCGAGTTGGAGAAGGCCATCCCGGGCCCAACCCCGCAGAGCTTTCCCGTGTCTATATCACGATGGAGAGGCTCCGTGGCTACCTCCCACTGGAGCCCCACACTCAGCCGGAGGATTCTGGGATTGGGTTGGCACTGAGGAGGGACAAATCCGTCCCATGTTTCACCTGTAACACCTCCTCTTCCAGCCATGTTGCTTTGTCCGGCGAGTATGAAAATGCTCTTTGGTTGGGACGCGTTTTCAACAGGGATATTTTGAGTGATTATCAAACTGGAGTGGAATAGAAGCATCAACCAAACAATTGGACACATTTTATTTATTCTTTTTTTAGGTTTTTTCTCATCTCCAGAGGAAAGCTGAAAGAAAAAACAGAGATTTTGTATACTTTACCTTTCTTACAAAGTACTGGACTAGTGTATTCGGTAAGAAAGCGACAAAAATACACTGGCATTATTAATTTAGAATATCGCTTTGGCATTTTTTAAGTCAAGCAACTTTGGAAATGTTTTTGTTATTTGAGTCAACAACTACGGGTGGGATTTTAAAACCGAGAACCGTAAAACCAAACTGGTCTGAACCGAAAAAATCCGGTTCGGTTCGGTTATTGTGTAATATGTTATGAAATTACCGGTTCGGTTCTTTATCCTCATTTTTCGGTTCCGGTTTTTGGTTCTCTTTTCAAAGATGTTTAAAAAACCGAAGAATCGTATATAATACATAAGTTGAAGGCCAAATTTTAAGATAACCACAAGATATTAAAACTATTTCATTCCTACAAGGTTGGTGTTTTTATTTGCATCTATACCTAAAAATGGATTTATTTGGGTTAGAGTAAAGAAAATATCAGCTACCAAATTAGAATGTTCCCTACAATCATGCCAATTACAAAAATCTTTCCTCATAATTACTAAAGATATAATATACATCATATACATGATTACAAATATATTCGAAAAAAGTCAAGTATTATCTTCGTTTTGAAACTGATTTATGTATATATATGTAGTATATTTTCTGGGTTTTTTCAGATATGATATATATATATATATTATATAAGTATACCGAACATATACAGAACATATACTGAACATATGTATACCGAACATATACTATTTTCTAGGTTTATATTGTTGGAGTATACTGTAAAACAAACTTTTATGTGAGCTTTTGGATTGTATTTATTCGATTTCCCATTTGACTGAAATAAGTGTTTTCACATTGTTGCATTCTTTATGATTGCTTGTATGCTAAATGTCCAATTATCTT